CCTCCTGGGCTGGGACTGGTCCCGCCAGCGCAGGGTAGCAGGAAACTCCGCACACTCACCGGACCTGGGCTAGGACTGGGTCTCAATGCTATTGATTTTGGTCATCATTTTTGGTTTAACTAAAAAGATTATATAATATCACAAATGCGAAGAAAGTTAAGTAAAACAAAATGCAAAATTTATGGCTCACGTCATGTTTCACCAATTTTAGGGATAAATTTTTACAAATTTTTTCAAACTCCAGTGGGACAAATGTTTGATCCTTGAGAAATGTGGCAAATCTTTAAACACTTAGACCTATCCAAGCTGTGAGCATGAGTCTGATTTTGTCTCCTTGAGCTGTACTTTGCATTTCATTCTAAGAATGAAATATTGTATACTTTGGTATTTCTTTTTTTTTTTTTTTTTGGCGGAACCAGGGATTGAACTCAGGCCCTTGTGCTTGCCAGGCAAGCACTTATTCTACTGAGCCATCTCCCCGGCCCCTGAAATACTGTATACTTTGAATGCAGACAATGCTCAGTTTCTCATGGTGTGACATGGTGAGCAATCTGTTGTAAAGTGAAAATGTAAGTGCCATAAGTAAATACAGTGCATTGGGGTTTTTGTTTAGACACACATATGACTCACCAGTTAGTGGTATCTAAAACTGTGTCTTCTGAAATCTGAACTATGTGATGTAGTTGCTAGAATGTAATACACTGCAGAATACATGCTTCAGAGCATGTGGCTAACTTCACTGCAGCTCATATCCGCTTCTTTCCATGACCAGGAAAATACACAGTGTGAATAGCTCTTCCCATTCCAGGCAGTGATGGAATGTGCAAAATGCAAGGTACTTCATCTTGGTACCTTTACCTGATGGTAAATGGTACTTCATTGTATTTACCATCATTTGGCCATAAACAGAAAACCTTGCTGTTCTGATAATACAGAGGAAACCACCAGGGAAGCAACCCCTGCAACTCAATGAGACTCTGACTCCAAATGTGTATGAAAGCAGTGGAGATTAGTTCAGTGCTTTTGTACTCTTAGCTTTACTCCTTGGAATGGTAAATAGGGCCTGCTTTCCTGATAAGGCAGTGAAACCAACTGACTCATCCCACGCTGCTCAAAGGGATGTCACACCCTCAGTCCTTGGCGGGTGGGGTAGGGGCTGACCTGCTTTATGCAGCCATCTTCTTTTTTTTTTTTTAATATTTATTTATTTTTATTTATTACATTTATTTATTACATTTATTTATTACATTTATTTATTGTGTGTGTGTGTGTGGCCAGCTCAGCCCACCAGGGGGCGGGGCTGGCTGGCATGTGGTGCTGGAGGATTGAACCGTGGTCCTTGTGCTTTGCCAAGCTTGTTTCAAGTAGGTGCTTTAGACCACTAAGCCATCTCTCCAGCCCTATGCAGCCATCTTCTGAGATCAGGAATTATATCCAAGTGAATAAAGTTTTGGTTCTATTAACAGGAAGAAGATGGGCCAGCCAAATAGCTCAGCAGATTAAA